AAAATATTTTTTTTATTTTTTAAAGGTTTATTTATTCGTTCAGAATTGGGGTACAGGCCAGAGATGCAGAGGGGGGTACAGAAGACAGAGACAGAGCGGGGTACAGAACAGGCAGATCGACAAAGTACACTGCTGAGGGGAGCAGCGGGCGGGTCAGGAGAGGTCTGCCACGCCATGTGGGTCTCCTCCGGGGCAGGCGGGGATCAAACTCATGTGGAAGTGGTTCAAGCTTCTTTGTGCTGTGCTTTAACCTGCTGCACCACCAGGGAGGGCCTAATTCTGCAAAATAGTTCAGAGAAATACAGAGAATTACATAGCTAATGTATACAGAAACACATTTCCCAAATTTATTAAGTTTTAACATTTTTGCCCTACATTGCTCTGTAGATTGTTAAGAAAAAATAGACAATTAAAAGTCTCATTTTTACTGTTCCCCATACAAACGATAACCATGGATCACCCAGGTCCTACTCAGGGCCCGGGTTCCCTAGGTATGAAGTGACCAGATTCAGAGCAGAAGCAGATGTTTTATTTTTGGGCTGGGGAGTTACTGCCACTACTGGGGCTGACAGCTTGCAATTATGCATTCCCCTGTGTGCCTGGTGCTGCTCTCCTTACATAGAAGAAGCCATTTAATCCTCATAACAATTCCGTGGTGTAGATACTATTTTACTGAGAAGGAACAGAGGGGCCTCTGTATTGCCTGTTTTAGGAGTGTGTTCAAGAGTGAAGCTTTCACTTTTTCTTTTCTTCAATTATTTCTACCACTTACAAAAGAAAGTGCAGCCTTCAATATTCCCTTAAAAAAGTTCCCCTGGGCCTGGATGTGTACGTGTCATTGTGCCTTCCTGCTGCCTCTTCCATTCTGCTGCTTGAACCTGGAATCCTCCAGAGAGCAGTTTGAACCAGGTTATTTATCTATCCATTTATTTATTTACTTACTTATTTAGGTTTGCCATTGCCTTTAATTAGAAATTTTTAAGTTTGAAATATGTTTTCACTAAAAAGGCTTAATTTATTGTTTTCTCAAACTTTGTCCTAATTTAATATTCTCTCCAAGTGACCGCAAGTGTTGTATCCTCCTATAAAATAGCTAACTATGAATACCTTTTGTATTTCTAGTTTCAAGAGACCTTTCAGAATAATAGGATTCTCTTAAATGACTAATTACCCCAAATCTGTTGCTTGTGTAATGCTATCCAGCAAGCAGCTGGCTTCATATGAAGAGAGGCTAAGAGCTCTTTTATGTCTTGTTCATTTAAAATCATTTGCTTCTTATTTAATATCTGCAAAGAAGGCAGTCACATCCTAGTAGATTTGCTGTTGTGAATTTTGGATTGTTTCCATGGGTTCCGCCTTACATCTGCATGGTGTTTAAAGCCAATGCTTCCTTTCTCTTTGTAGGCATTCAGGGCCTATTGCCTCATAATCCAATGTCATGCTGAATGACAGAAAATTGAAGTTGAATTTATTTAACTATAGAAAAGAACTGCACAGAACAATACACTTATTTAAGAACTCCTTTCCTCAGAACTGAAGGAGCCGTCTTGTGCAGGTGGCTTTCTTTCTCTGCTGCTTCTCTAACTGTGTTCCTTTATTTACTAAGAACAGGAACTGAGCACTTTGCTTCCCAAAACAAAAGGGCCCTGCTACACGGCTAGAACTAGTAACAAGCCTGAGGACCTACGCCTCATCCAGAACAGGACAGATATGTCCTGTGCTTTTAAAAAACTCAGCACTTCTTTATTGGAGAAAATGTAACCTGAAATTAAAAAACAAAGACCACCACCACAAACAGCACAGTAAACAAATTAATCAACTCTAATTATACACTGGTGGGCTGTTTATATGGTAGATTATTTGTAATGAATCCTTTTTCCTGATTCCATGTTCATTTTCTATGCGTGCATAAAGTGGTTTCTTTGTTGACATCATTTTATTTCCTGTGTCTACTTGCTTCACATGACAGTCTTCAGAAGTTTCTGTGTTTGAAAGTAAAACATTTATTTGCTTTCCCTATTTTTACGCAGAGATGCTGTAAAATACATAAACGGAAATCTGAAGGCCTCTCTGTTTGTTGAGAGCTGTGAATTAAAGATGAAGCCATCTATGCTTACCTTGAAATAGGGAGAAAGGGAAATTTAGTGGCTATAGAAAGAGAACAATACTGAAGAGTGGAACAGCTTTTCCTTTATTGAATTGGGTCATGATGGTGTAGTTAATTTACCTTTAAGCCTGGTAAAGTCTAGAACTGTGATGCACAAGTATATTCAAGTCTGAGCCTAGGAATATTTTTCAGTAGCATAAAAATAGGTTTTGAATTTGCTGCCATTTTTATTTTCTGCTCTTCTAATTAACAACTAATTGCATAAAATTCACATATTAGGTACTAGTATTTGGAATGTATTTTTAAGATAATCAATTTTTCCTCTTAACAAAAGCTGCCTTTAGAAGTAATAACATAAAATTTATCACACAGGCTCAGATGTGTGCTTCCCCTACTTCAAGATTATATCCTGCCAAGCACTAAGGGACTTTTAGTAGGAGGAATTGATGTTAACTTCATAAAGTGGGTCACAATGATACCCACATATGTATCTCCATATTTTTCTTAAGCTATATTAAATTTTAAGCATTCCAAAATTTTAATCAACTTTGGAGTTAAAACTTCTACTAGCTCACTATATATTTAATGTAAAATATACTTTTCATTTTTCTTAAGCACACCCCTGAAAGATTTGGGGATGCAGTAGACAGATCATAGCTGTTTTTTTTTT